TTGCTGGTTCGGATCCCAGGCACAGACCTACCCACCGCTCACCAAGCCATGCTGTGGCAGGTGTCCCACATGTAAAATAGAGGTGGATGGGCACAGATGTAAGCTCAGGGCCAGTCTTCCTCAGCAAAAAGACAAGGATTGGCGGCGGATGTTAGCTTAGGGCTAATCTTTCTCAAAAAAAGAAAAAACTGATGTACTGGCAAAAGTGGTACATGGAGCAATGCTACTTCTGTATCATAATGACATCATCCCGTATTTGCCGATCACATATGAGCAAATCTGCGACAGCAAAACTGGGAGAGAGTAGACCAGCCTGCACCGCCCCTTCAAGAGGACTTCTTCACAGCAGCCACAGCACCCTGAAGCCGTCGCAGCACTATACACACTGTATACAGGGGCTTTTTTTGCAGAAAGGCATGTTGACACTTTTTATTAATCAGAAAGGAGGTGACTGATCACCTGGAACATTCTCAGAGTGGACATCAAAGCCCTTCAATAGCCCCAGCAGCAATTCCAGAGCTTTCCACACTCAGTGCCACTCTAGAAGGCTTGCTCTCCATGCCCCCTCCCGCCGCCAGCCCTTTCCCTGGGGGGTCCCGGCCCCGGCCGCTCACCCTTGGTCCCTGCAGAGCTTCTTCATGATTATAAGCCACAAGAGTACAGTTAGACCAGGGGCTTGCAAACGGGGTTCCACAACTACCTAGAAACATCTATTAGGCACATACATATGTGCAGACAGTGTGATGAGACAATGTGGGAATACCCACAAAAACAAAATTCACATCCCCTGCAAGAAGGTTACCATTTGGTGAGGGTGACAGAGGAGTAAATCAATGTCAGATCATTGTCAGGAAAGAAAGATGCACACGGTTTAATCATCACCCAGATGTGCCTGGGACACTCTATCTGGTGACCTGGGGCAGTTTAATGGAGGATCAAGGACTCCCGGATTAAAGCAGCTTCTCCACATCCTGCCTCCCCCAGGAAATCTTAACCAAGTGACTCTTCCGGTCCACATGTCCGTTTTCTATAAGATATAGGTAATAATAATAATAGCACTTGTCTCACGTGGAGGAATAAACGAAACAATGCTCGAAAGTGCTCAGCACAATGCCAGTACCTACCAGAGCCGATCCCCGCTCTCCGCTGGAGACTCAGCATCTTGAGGAAAGGGAATGAACGGGAGCTTTCCATCTTTGCTCTTCTAAGGCCTGGCACACTTCCCAGCACACAACCGGCACTTCACAATGGCCAGCTGAGCGAATGCATTGTAACGGACACAAATACGGCATCTGAGAATTGCTGACGACAATTCTCTTTCTTTACTCCTTCTGATGCTCACACCCCATGAAGGTGGCAGTGCTGGTGGTGGGACCTCTACCTTACTGATGAAGACACTGAGCCTCAGAGAAGTCGGGCATCTTGCCTAAAGCCACTCAGCTCATTAGCAGAACCAGGAGGTGCGTCAAGCCTGCAACCCTGAGCATTCTGGGTGGACCACATGGGTGCCCGCAGGGCCAGGCCAGCAGGCCGGGCTGGAGGAATCTCGTTCACACCCTGCACAACGGCATTTAACCACAGTTTCTAATCCGGATATCTTGGTGTTTCTCACACATCAAATCCCATTAGCTTCATACGCCTACGAAATACTCATATGAGAGACAAGATATGGTTATTTTTAAACTGCGTTTCAACCCATACGTGTGGGAAGATGCATTTTGGAGCACATGTGATGGTGGAATCAGGCTTCCTCTGGCGCTGATTCTGGAAGGTACGAAGCACAGAGGGACCCCAACCTAGTCATGATTTCCCCGTGAGGGAGTGGCATACAGAAGCCCCTCACACAAGCTTCAAGTAACCCTCCACTCTCTGTGGTTAACACCACGTCACCCACGGGGGTGGCTGGCCTAGACTCCGCCACTAAAGGAGCAACTTCACATTCTGAGGGCAGGGGCAGAGGTTTGTTTGGCAGAGGGCATCTGGGAAAATGATACATCACTGAAGAAAAGATGAATCTCCATTAGGACAAGCAGCACTGAAGTGGTTTTCACTGAAGTGGTTTTCAATCACCCCCCTGATTTGCACCCTGATTGGAGGCAGGAGAGTGTGTCTGCAATGCTTTCAGCCTGGGGAGTGTGCTTTCTCCCTGGGGTGTGCCTCCCTTGGGCGAAGGATGAAGGAGGCAGGAAGATGATCAGGACATAAGGACAGCCCAGCCGGCTGCCCCCTGCTGGATGACTGGTCCACGAGCAGGGCCTCCTGCATGGCCCCATGAAGGCAGGGCAGTGAGTAACCTCCACCTGCCTTCACCTGACATCCTCTGTACATGTCCTGTGTTCGGGGCACCGTTCTGGGCTCGGGGTGGGGAAGGGAGACAAAGCCCTTCTAACCTGGGGCTTCCGCTCAAGGAGGGGCAGATAACACCCGAGGAAGTAAGTCAGCCATGGGTCGGGGAGGGACGCGCAGATCGCACAGGGCCAAGCAGGGAGTTTCCAAGAGCACCTGGAAGCTACTGGAGGCTTTAAGCAGAGGAGTGAAATGACCCAGTCAATGTTTTAAAATTATAAATCAGGGGCCGACCCAGTGGTGCAGTGGTTAAATGCACACATTCTGCTTCAGCGGCCGGGGTTCATCGGTTCGGGTCCCGGGTGCGGACATGGCACCACTTGGCAAGCCATGCTGTGATAGGCGTCTCACATATAAAGTAGAGGAAGATGGGCACGGATGTTAGCTCAGAGCCAGGCTTCCTCAGCAAAAAGAGAAGGATTCGCAGCAGATGTTAGCTCAGGGCTAACCTTCCTCAAAAAAAAAAAAAAAACTAAAATTATAAATCACCTAATTTCACTGTTCAACAAATCCTGTGAGCGCTTGGGATCTTCATTTTTCAGATGAGGCAAAATGAGGCTCAGAGATGTGAGATCAAAGTTCCAAAGATCCCAAAATCTAGACATGCCAAGGCCAAGATCTGAACTCCACACGCCCAACATGGATGCCCGTGCTGTACACCCTGCCATCCACTCTGCCGGGGACGTCCCAACCGGAAGGACACAACCCAACCCCTGCCCCGATGACAGCACCACTCATTAATGCCCAAAACAGCCCCACGCCCATCTGATCTAGCCTTGCTTGGGCCTGACTTCATTTACTCAGAAGACTGGAGCCCATGCAAGGTGCCGGAGTCACCGAGATTATCAACTGTCACGCCTGCTCAACCTTTGAGCGTCCATCCTCTTATCAAATACAGTGTCCAGTTGTACACATCCAAATGTTTCTTAACAGCTGTTATTTTAAAAAGAGAAAGAATATTTATAAACCAACCTTTGGATTTCATTAAAGTTAGTTCTGGAAACGTTCTACCTGAATTCATCTGAACAGAAAAGCAGTGATGGTTGAGTGGTTTGAAAGTCTCTTTGATGCGGTCAAGTGTCGAGGGAGGAGGGAAGAGGAGAAGCCTGGAGTCAGAGCTCCGCTCAGATGCGGCTAAACCCATGACCTCCCTGGGGAGGGGCCTCAGCCACTCCTGTCCAGTTCCCAGCACAGCGGCTGCCCAAAGCACATTTACAGTGACCACTGAGGGAATGAGGTGTTGGCTCTGCCGCGCAGAAGCTGTTAGCCTTGATGGCCATCCCGCGTCTCGGGGATGAACAGACCACCCCCGCCCAGAAGCCTAGATGAGATGGTGCACATGCAAAAGGGTTTGGAAACCACATAGTTATAGAGTAATTGGAGAAAGAAAACTAAAACATTAGAGAACCACACAGGACAGCACATGATCAAATGCTACATGGAGAAGGGACGGATCAGCAGGAGCTGGAGCAGGAGGGAAAAGGCATTGTGGATGGGCCGGTAGAATGACGCCCCATCGCCCACTAAGACATCCACGTGCTAACCCTAGAACCTGTGAATACTAAGGTTATGTGGCAAAGAGAAATGAAGGTCGCAGATGCAATTAAGGTCACTTGAGATGGGAGATGATCCTGTATTACCCAGGTGGGCCCAAGGTCCTCACAATGGTCCTTAAAAAGTGGAAGAGGGAGACAGAAGAAACAGCCAGAGAGACGGCAGCTTGAGAAGGCCTCAACCTGCCATTGCTGGCTTAGAAGAGGGAAAGAGCCACGAGCAAGAATAGGATGCCTCTAGAAGCTGGAAAAGGCAAAGAAACGGGATTCTCCCCTAGAACTCCGGAAGGAACACAGCCCTGCCCAGACCTTGATTTTAGCCCAACAAGACTTCTATCCTCCAGATCTGTAAGGGAATAAATTTGTGTTGCAGAAGGGGCTACGTTTACGAGAATGTGTTAGAGCAGCAGGAGGAAACTAACACCCTGGAGGAAGCAGGATTTTCACTGGGTGGGGTAGGGCAGGGGAAGCGAGTTGCAGGTAGGGGGACCTGCTTGAGAAAAGGCCTGGAGTCAAGAACTGCAGGGTGTACAGAGTGTCAACGAGGGGCTCCCCTTCCGGGAGCAGGACCTCGACAGCAGCGAGGGCCAAGGTTATGGTGGCCCTTGAGTCTCAGGGAGGAAAGCCAGCCATGATGTGCCAGGCCCTGGAGAGCCACTAAGGGTTTGGCCTGGGGGGAGCCACAGAACAGCCTGGAAGAGGTGTGTGTAGAGGGGAGGTGAGATGCATTGGCAGGGAGGCAACAGAGGACAAATGCCACTGCCTGCCCATGCCCACAGGTGTTCTGGGTTCTCCTCCTGACCTTTCCAGACAGACGACTAGAGGGGAAGAGCTCAAGAGCCGGAGGCGGACCAACCTGGGTCCAGGAACTGGCAGCATCCTTTCCACTAAGTAGTCTTTGGAGAAGACACCCACCCTGAGTCTCAGAGCTCTCTCTGTGAAATGAGGATTCCGCAGCATTGTCCTTCCCGCTGGGAGAATCAGGGCTGAGGCACTGTAAACATCATGCATGCCACCTGACCCAAGCTCAACGAGCCATCGCTGTGTCTACAACCAGAGCGCCCAGCAGCACACGCAGAAGCCTTCCCACGGCCCTGGTACCTGGATGTTGAGTCTCCCTCGATGCGCCCCCAGGCCGTAGCGCTTCGAAGTGGATGCATGGAGCTGGAAGTCTGTGATTTTTAAGGTTTCCAGACCAAGAGGTGGGCAACCTGGAAAGGACAATGCTTGTTAAAAACAAGGACAGATGTTAAAAGAAACAAGTGCCTGGTTTTCTAAATCTGGCCACGTGCTTTTCCGTTTTTCCTGAACTCCCTCTCCTCATGGCAGCCCCACCCTCTGGTATGCCCGGGGTTTCCACACAAACATTGTCGACTCAGCTGTCAAACACTAAGCCAATTTTCTTTCTTGTCGGCATTTCCTTTCTGGGTGTTTTTGCTCTAATCTTCTTTCTCTCTGTCGCTGTCCATGCTACTGTCTGTGGCTGTTTTCAATTAAGGCTCCTTCCACAACGTGACACAGCCAGGGAGCGTTATTGGTTAGAAATTTTGGAGTGATCCCAATGAGCTCTGCAAATTAATCAGAATTGGTTGATTTTGCTTCAGCAATTCTGGCCTTTTTATTGTGCATGCTAATGAGCAGAGCAATATAAATAGAAAAAAAAATCTATTGTCTTCCATTCTTGACAAGGCTAGTAATTCTGAGAACGGCTACTCCACACAGTCTGGTCCAAGCTGCCCCTGGAATAAGCTGCAGGCACCGGGCAGGCCCTTGGCCATTCTCCTGGTCCAGCCCACCGTCCCCATGGATAAGAGCTTTAACAGCAGCCCTGGGGCCGGATCCCAGGCCTCCTGACTTCTGGGCTGCTTTTCTCACCACCCACCCTGCCACGGGGCTGGAAATCTCCAAGTGATGCTATCTCCTTCAAATCTGACCCTGGAGAAAGAAAATAAAAACTCCGGAGTAGAAGTGAACAAATCTATTTCTACTAGAATTATTGGAAACCTCTAATGTAACGGAAGCAAATTTAAAAAGCTGTGTAGTCACTGCCAAGATAGGAGTGTGCCCAGGGATCGCAGGGTCACCTGGGGACGTGGAGGTATCTGTCCATCCAAGACAAACCCCTGCAGGGAAAAGGCCCCTCTGGAGGCTGGAGGAGGCTGGGCAGACAGCAGTCACTGGGGTGCTCTGTGGGCCCTGGGGTAAGATAGTCTGCCCAAGGGCTGCAGCCAGAGGAATCCAGGCCTCCAGGACCTGAGATGCCCTCAAGTCTTCCACTTGACTTCTCAGAAGAGGAAACAGAGGCCTCGAGACTTGAGGCAAGCCATCCAAGGCGTCTCTGCCAGCAGCAGAGCTGGACCTCAGATGCCAGCCTCCAGATTCTCAGCTCCTGGCTTGCAAACAAGCCACGCTGCTTCCCTGGCCCTGTCCATACCTGCCGGGAGGCTGCCTGGCTTGGTAAATATTTATCAGCCATCTGTGCTGTGCTTGGGGAGGCAGAGGTTCAGGTGCCAGCAGGGCGAGGAGCATGAGGAGGGAGGTGATGGTACTGCTGCCACTAGCCAGACACTGCAGGAGAACTCGCAAGGCTTCAGGTGGCACCATGAGCAATAATGCTCCAGCTGGCTTCTGCGAGAGGTGGCTGTGCCACAAGTGGGGCGTCATGTGTCCAATGGGGGGTCCATGCAGTGAGCCTGAGAAGGGGCCATGCAGCGGGGGGTGGGGGGCACACATGAAGCAAGCCAGCTGTACCTGCCCCTCTGCATTCCTGCCACCTCCACAGCTCAGCCCCCAAGCCCAGGTTATAGAACAGGGGGAGCCCAAGGCCCTGTGCTGCTCCACTCTGGCCTCAGGACAGGTGGCACCTTCTCTCAGTGCTGCTTGCCCCTCTGGACCAGGACCCTTCAGGCTCTCAGACCCTGGTGGTCACTGGCACGCACCAGAGGCCCTGGTTGGGATTCAGGGCAAGGCACGAGGGTCAAGGTCACTGCCTGTGCTCTCTGGGAAGCTGGACTCTCGGATGTCCTTCAACCTGCCACTCGGAGCCTGGCTCTGACCTTGGGCTCGCAGACTGCCCTGCTGCTCCCAGTTCAAACCTCCTCTCCTCCTGGCTCCCCTCATCCCCTTCTCCTTGTCCCAGCTCGCCTGGGCGTCCAGGCACATGTCCAGGCACATCAGCATCCTCAGGAATAACTGCATCTCCCCAGCCTTGACCCCAAGTTGACCGGGCCACGGTTCTGTTAGACAATTCTGTGCATCCTGGGAATGGCCTCTACGTGTCTCAATTATGGCAGATGTGCCAGCTTTGCTTTCAGACCCTAAGTGGAAACAGGGCGCTGGTTCTGTCCCACCTCTCCTGGTGCTCAGTTCAGGTCCCCAACATTCCCATAATCAAGCAACAGAAACACAAAACGGATCTGCCGCCAATTCAATGAACCTATTTCACAGCCACATTGAATGTTCCATCCCCTTAGGACTTCCTTCTTAGTAGAAAACAGGGCAGGTGGTGAAGTCCACATACTTCATCCAGCTAACACCTCCCATTTATATCGTTGAGACAGGCAGACAGACCGACAGATAGATAGACAGACACACATATATTACTTACTAGTTAAATAAAGCAACAATAATTGCCATCCAATGCATTTCTTCCAGGAAAAGAAAACATCCATATGTATATTAATATTTTAATTCAAAAAGGAACTACCTGAATAAAATTGCATATTGATCAAAATTGCTCTTCTGTTGATATGTGGAAGCTCCGCCACATCCTCTCACCAAGATACACAGGGGTGAAAAGGAAGTGCCCGGAAGTGGGCTGTTTCTTGACTGCACGTCTAACATCAACTCAAAAGCTTGATGGCTGCCCTCTCAGGGGGGCTAGACCATCACGTACACGTGGCAAGAGTGGAGTCCCAGGCAGCCGGTGGTGCTGTCAGCTGCCACATCAGCCAAATGTCCACTCTTGTCCACTCTTGAGTTGACGTGACATCACAAGCCAGAAAAGCCAGTCCTTCCATCCACGGCACAGCTGACGATGCCTTTGGTGGGGAGCCCAGATAAACACACACGCTCTCGGCCTGCTCGGAAATGTTGCCTCCCAGGAATCCTAATAAGGATTTTTCTTCCCTGTTAGAAGACACCATCTTTAGAGAATTTAGTTTTGTTTGGCAGCCTCCTCCGTCGTCCACGCCATTAATAAAGATGCTAGAGATAGATCTACACTGAGAAACTGCAAGGCCCTTGGCGGCAACACCAATTACTGACACACGGGGGTTAGCGGGGCACCTTTGGTTGTGAGAAACCAGCAGTATTTAACGCAAGCAGAAATGGGAATGATTGGAGGGAGGGCAGGAAGCTCTCAGAGGGGACGAAGGCAGGGACACAGGACAGGTGCGGAGTGGAGCCAGAAGAGCCCTCGTCATCCAGGCAGCAGAAGCCACCAGCCGGTGCACTGCCAGAGGAGCAGATCGACTCCCACAGCACTTTCCAGCCCGCATCGCATCTTTCAAGGGCCTCCACTCAACCTCACATCCCACCTCCCAGACAGAGTCCGACTCGCCTCGTCACACGTCTGCCCACTGGGAAGGGGGTGCTGTGAGTGAGGGGAATGGATGCCGGTCACTCACGGGACAGGCGTGTGGAGTCACCTGCCCAGCGTTGCAGGTACATAAGGGCCAGCGCAGCCTTGTGCCGTTGAGGTGGAGTCGGGTCTTGCAGCCGCCCCAGGAGTCTATAGCTCCATCTCCGCTTGCTCTCCACCACTCCCTTCTTGAATTTTTGCATTCTGCACTCTGGCTTCTGTCTCGAATCATGGGGCTCTCCTCATTTGGTGGCCCTTTTGGGATCCTCAGCCTCTTCTTGGTCTCGCTGCCATCTGCTCCCTCTTGCTACTCCCTCCCTCCACCCCTGTGGCTTCCATAACACTATATTCTCCAGTTTCTTTCCCTCCCTTGTGTGAGGGGAGCCTTTTCCTGCCCTTCAGCACAGGGTGTAACCCTCGGACTCGGTAAGAGTCCTCCCTCCCTTTCCCTTTAACAATCCACAGTGGGCACCCATGGCCTCACCCACGAGATGTCACAGATGCCGTCTACACTAGTAGGAATCAAATCACACGGATGGAGTTTAAACCCAGGACACCACTCATGAGCATGTTTGGAGACTGACTATTCCACAGCCTTCCATACGTCAGGCGTGGCAGCAGAAGCCGTGGTGGCTCCTGTCGCTGCCGATGTGAAGGCCACAGCTGAAGCACACGTGCCAAGTGTCATCCACAGTCCACTCCTGAGGGAGCTCCAAGGCCGCAGCAACTTCCTCCTCCTCGGCATTCTGTCTCCACACACTCAGATGGCAGAGGCCCCAGGAGGGGTCACAGAGACACAGCACCAGTGCCGTCTTCACTCGGGACGTTTCTCTCCATTCCACCAACTCTCCACTCTTCATTTTTCCCTTTGAGAGCTTCCATGCCTTGCCTGCCATCACATATCTGTCTTACATTGACTTTCACTCCATTCCCATGACCATCAACGAAATTTAGTTCAACAGACGTTTACTGCGTCCCTACCTAACACAGGGGGCCATGCTCCATGACGCAGGACCCCTAGGCTCAGCTAAAAGCATGTGCTAAACCAGCTGGGGGTTCCCCACCTTTCTAAAGTCACATCTGAAAAGATTTTGTAGTTAACAAAAAGTTTAAGTATAAAGTAGTTTAAGGGGCCAGCCCAGTGGCATAGTGGTTAAGTTCATGCGCTCTACTTCAGCAGCCCAGGGTTTCACAGGTTCAAATCCCAGGAACAGACCTACACACTGCTCATCAAGCCATGCTGTGGTGATGTCCCACATACAAAATAGAGGAAGACTGGCACAGACGTTAGCTCAGGGCCAATGTTCCTCAAGCAAAAAGAGGAAGACTGGGAACGGATGTTAGCTCAGGGCCAATCTTCTTTACCAAAAAAACCAAAAGTAGTTTAAGCATAAACTCTCTGCCCTACACCCCTTTATGCAAAGATGAATGAGGGAAAAATCCCAGGTCAGAATAACATTGTTCCTGACAAAAGTTTCTAGGCCCATTGTAATGACTTGTACTCAAAGCTTGACACAGAAATCTCCACATTTAGAAAAATGAAGGATTTTCCTACACTCAAGAACAGGACAGGAAAATAGACATGGGGAAATTACCCCTTGATTTAAAGATTCTAAATTAATTCAAAAT